GAACATCTGGAGGGGATACAACAGCTTAGGGAAACTGACCAGTTTGTATAGGTTGGCCCTTCCGATGTGAGATAAAGGTAATTTGTGCCAGTGTTCAAACTCTGCGAAAATGGCCGTTAGAATTGGCAGAATATTTAATTTAAATACGAGGGAGAGATCTCTAGGGACCTTAATGCCAAGATATTGAAGCGCCCTCGATTGCCACTGCAGAGGGAGTTCGAGGGAGTGGTGGCGGAGGGTGTCCACTAAAGTGAAGGGCACATGATTTGGCCCAATTGACCTTTAGGCCTGCCATGTGGCAAAATGTTTCCAGCAAGTCAGCAAGGGTTGGCAGGGAGCGTCTTGGGTCAGTGATAAAGAGTAACAGGTCGTCAGCAAATGCTGTGACTTTCAGTGTAACATCACCCATCGGTATGCCCCTAAATCCCTGTAGCTTCTCAACAGCTCTCAATAACGGGTCGATGGTGTGGCAGAACCAACCTCGCCACTGTCCACTGGAGAGGCCTGGTTGCTTGCCTGCTCCCTTTAGACTATGGTCCTGCATTTTAAACTTATTTTACCGGCAGAAAGGTTTATTTGTGCCTTTCTGCGGACTGTTAAAGCCATGCTACCCCAGATAGCTATGCCATGGAGCCCAGCCGTATATTGAAAGACTGTATGAAAGACTTTGGCTCCATGGCGATTGAACTGTATGTATGTGATCTGAGCGCCATTTGGTAGTAATGTGCGCTCAGATCTAAGCTATCTGGGGATAGGTAGAATGTCTATGTTTTATGGAATAAATGTAACTTTATGTAATTTGATGTCTTTTATTGTATTGTTACTGCCATGTGGTTAATGGAGTCTTGCCTCTGTCCTGGTGAAGTAATCCAATTATCTCCTGGACAGAGAGGAGGGATTGTGATGTAAATGTGGGTGTGTTTTATGGTTCTCCTGTAAACGATTGGTTGTACTGTGTCCCACCCTGTGGGATGTCCTCTTGCATGGGGACTTGCATAAACGCCAGTGTGTGGCCATTACAACGGAGTTCCTGCTTAACCCTCAAAGTGAAGTGTTGTCTCATTATTGGGGGAGGATTTATTATATGCTGTTCCAGTTTGGCTGCTAGGAGTGTAAACCTATTTGCATGGTTTTTCCTATTCAGCTGTATACAACATTCATATGCTGGAGAGCATTCATATGCTCCTACGGTTCGGTGATTGTGGTGTCTGCCAGAGTGCTTGGAGTCCTCAGGAAATGCTAGGAGCATCCTTTAACGGAGGTACCCAGTCGGGGTGCCAGGTGATCTGTTACAGATGGCAAGATTAAACAGCAGAGTCGAGAGCGGGCAGCCCTGGTGCACTCCCCTCCCCAGGGCAAATTATGGGGAGTCCAGGCCATTTGTGGTAATACAGGTGGTGGGGTGATGGTGTAAATTTTGAATGAAATGGACAAATGTGTGACCGAAGTATCTCAACCTTAACACCCTGATCAGGTGTGGCCAGGATATGCTATCAAAAGCCCTCTCTATGTCAAGGCTAATAAGTGAAAGGATAAATGCTGTTCTGGACTCAACTCCCCTCGATTCTCGCTCCTTCGATCACCACATCAATTGATGGGAGATCTTGTTTAGCAAATAAGACACACAGACACGAAAGAGTGCATAACAAGTTCTCAATGAGTATATTTTCAGGGCTAGCATTTATACACAATTTCTCATGCAAGCAGTGAAGTCTATAGTGTCCTTGTGGTTAATAGTACATACTTGTCGGACATGAAAAAGATAAGCATTTGGATGAAGACGAGACAGGAACATCCTAAGGTCAAGGAAGGTCATACATCCTGTAGAGGAAAGACCTTGGTACAAAATACATCTGCCAAAGTCAGCATAATTATTTCAAACATTATTTTAAAGCATATAAAGCAAAAAGAGTTAACCATTTCACTTCCTTACATCCCCCTCTTTGAGCAATTAATTTGCTCATATCATTGATAAGATCTTCCCAGGTCAGAGAAACTTCCACATGGTATTTTCAGGGGTGCTAGTCACTCCCTGCGGGACTTTCATTAATTTCTTCACCTCGATTCCCATGTGGTAATTCCTAAGGCCCAGTTTTAAAGATGGGTTGATAGCCTCCAGTGGCAGAGAGGAGAATTTCCAATTGTTTCTGTTCTGCATTATGGATTAATTTCTGTATTCTCTTCCTCAATGTACAAGTAAGATGGCAGTTATATAAAATCATACCCAATACAATCAGGACTATAATAACAAGAGGATAGAAGAATGATTTCATTATCTGGGATCCAGTAGGGGACCAACCTGTAAAAGCATCGTACCAATGATGGGCTAAATCATTCTGAATTTGTGAACTCACCTTAAGGAGTTCTCCTTTTAGGATATGTGTGGCTACCTGTGTGTGTACTATAGCATCATTATGTGTAACAAGATGTTTAAACATATTTTGTTTTCCTTTCATTAAGGAGACAATAGTCTCAAGAGGTAGATGGTAATCTTTAAAAGGCAGAGAGCCTAATAGGGCATTAATATGTTTGTCTAAAGTGATTGTGTCGCTGAAATAATATTGGGTGTCATTAAGATCTAACCAGGTAACATTAGTCAAACATCCTGAAAAGGGGAGAGGTAGATTAATACTTGTATTACTAGTAATTATCTTTGTAGGGAGGTTAGTTGCCAAACAGATATGTCGTGTGCTTATTTCAGTCATGGTAAAATAATTTTCAGGATATATGTGCCATATGCACTTGTTAAGTTCATTTTGAAGTAAGCATGGTTCATAAATAGGGGACGAGTGTCGACATGCATATCCTTTGTCAGTGAGAACACAGTGTTTAAGGGAATAGATCATATTATCTTTGGGGAAAATATAGTCCCCTGTGTATGTGGGTGCCCACCAGGTTAAATTCCTGGTAAAGAGATCATAAACTGGTACTGGTAATGTGTTAAATTGACAAGCTAATTTAACATCCTTTGATGATGTATGATATAGTGTAAAATAGCATGAGCATGAAAACTGTGAAACATTACCAGTTAACCATTCATTGCATTTAGTGGATTGGGGTTTTAGAAGTAACCATTCATTATCTGTGAGGTTAAGCATCCCTCTAATCTTCTCTAGTTTAGGAATCATTAGTGTGTCTTCTAATGCCAGTCTTTGTTGTTGCATCCATAAATACCTGATGGCACAAGTACTCCAGTTACCAAGATCTGTAGTGAATTTCATAGTTGCAACAGTTAAATTACCTAAATAGTTATACATTGATGTATCTAAATCCAATCCTGTAACCTGTGATTTAACAACAATTGGAGCCCAGTTTGCAGTAGCATGGAAACCAGTCCCTATATGCATGCTGGCCGTGTTTAACTTATTCTTGAGGGTCTCCATGTCTATACTATTTAGTATACCCATAGTGGTTCCAGCACCTCCTAACAGTGTGTCATACCATTCCCTTTTCTGCCTTTTGTTTGCTGTGTTACATATTGTTACAACAGGAGTAGTGATTTTTAATGACACATGTACAGCTTGTAAGAAGGCAGTTGTATTAACACATGTGGACGGAATAGGTGTGTGTGTGTCGTGGTTGACTTTTGGTTCTATGATAGTGGATGAAGGACAGTAATAAGGTGTAAAAATATAAGATAGTGTACAGTTCTCAATCGCAGTGTCATTCATAATGACTAACATTTGTCCCCTTTTAAAATGAATGGTACCAGTTGTATAATCATTATTAAAAATAATAAGGCCTGTCTGTTTACATTGATATGCAACCTTACTAATTTTCTTATAATATATATCCCAAACCTGTTTAGGTGGGTTTTTTTTACCATCAGAACTTATATTAAATAAGGTGGCACAGATGCTGGTGTAATTAGCAACCTTAACTGTGCACATTTCTGCATTATAAGATCTAACAATTTTCCGTGAACCTTCAAACAAACATAATGCATCGGTTTCATTAGCTGTGGACACATTCCATATGGGTAACTGGTACTTATAAGGGTTATTATTTATCCAGTTCATCCATATGTGTTCAGTCAATGAGTGCTTGCATATTACATGCTGATAGATAGGTGGTGGAGAAAGGTTCTTGAGGGAGCGTGTGACGAGTGCTAGATGAGGGGCTAAGGCCTAATTGGGCTGGGGGTATTGAAGAATTGTTCATCATGTCAGAGTCATTTCTCCAGAAACAAACAGGTTTCAAACTTCCCATTGACTTGTACTCATAATGGCATTCAAGGAATAATAGCAGAGGGAGTATAACAACTCCAGAAAGCATAGCGCACAACATAATCTTGGTCTCAGGTTCGTATGATCCTCTCAATCTACGATATGGTGTGAAAGCCATGATGCTTCGCCAAGGGGAAATTCTTCTCTTTCCGAGTGAGGAGTGGTGTTGTCTTCCTTGGTTCCCCTCTTTGGACACAGCTTCACTCGGGATGCGTGAATCCAGATGTTGTGGGACTCTGTGAGGACAGCGGTTCTGGTTACAGCAATCACAGTAGCAGGTGGTCCGAAAGGGTATCCTCCTTTCTTGGTCCTATTCAGCTGACGGATATACACCTTGTCACCAGGCTGATATGGATGAGTAGGTTCCTGTGAAGGTAAGGGAAACTGCGAAGAAACATTGCCATATATACCATTCAGTTTTATCAACAATTCCTGTACATATTGTGCTTGTATTAGCTGTAAATCCCCAGACATTATAACAAGCGGTTCCCTGGCCCAGGGTGTGGGAAAAGGTCGTCCCATCAGAATCTAAAATGGAGATAATTTAGTCACCTTGTGAGGAGTCATTCTTATCTCAGCTAAAATAGCTGGAAGATATTTTGTCCATTTTACCCATGTTCCTGCAGTAGCTTTCATAAGCTTCTCCTTAATGGTCCTATTCATCCTTTCAACTACCCCTGAACTCTGTGGATGATAGGGTATATGAAACTTCCAGGTAACTTGCAAGAATTTAGCAAGTTCCTGGGTAACCTTACTAGCAAAAGCCGGGCCATTATCAGAGTTAATCTGCAGAGGGCAGCCATACCTGGGAATAATTTCAGTAGCAAGAATCTTCACTACCGTCCTAGCATCCTCCCTAGATGTCACAAAGGCCTCAGGCCATCTACTAAACTGATCAACTATGACCAGTAAGTATTGCTGTTTCTTACCAATTTTGGGTACATGAGTAAAATCAATCTGTAAGTGTGTAAAAGGAGCAGCCGGAGGGGGCAAATGTTCGTGCTGTGATTTGTGTGGAATATTCGGATGTGTTCTCATACATGGTTCACACAATCTAACAAAAGACTGTACATGCTGCCTGAGATTCCTAATATAAAATGAATTCATGAGGAATTGGATGGTACTTGCTATGCTCTTGTGGCCAGGACCATGGGCCTGACTGATAAAGATAAAACAGCTGGTTTCAGGTATGCCTATCTTCCCCTCTCTAGAGAAAAGATCATTCTGATCTTTTTCTAAACCTTGTTTAATCCAAAAATCAACGTCAGATTGCGTTGCAAAGGCTTGGAGCTGCAAAAGCAAACTGTCAGTCGGGCATGTGGGAGGTGTGAGCATAGCAGGAAACATTTCATAATAAAGAGTCTTGGCTGCAACTTCTTTTGCCACTTTGTCAGCCAAGGCATTACCTCTGGAAATGTCATCATTACCCAGAGTGTGTGCCTTGCAGTGGATAACAGCTACTTCAGATGGGAGTAGGATAGCATCTAGGAGTGATTGGATGAGATTTGTGTGTGAAATGGCTTTTCCATCGGCTCCTACAAAGCCTCTTTGTTTCCAAATCACACCAAAATCATGCACTACCCCATGAGCATATCGTGAGTCTGTGTAAATGTTCACTCGCTGTCCTGAGAAAAGCTGACAAGCACGTGTGAGAGCAATGAGTTCTGCAGCTTGTGCAGACGGCTGGAAAATAGTGTCAGCTTCAATGATTTTATCAGGTAGCTGTACCACAGCATAGCCTGTGAGGTATGTACCATCATTTGGTCTGGAGCAAGAGCCATCCACAAAGACAGTGGTCACATCCGGGCCACTTAGTGCTGTGGAGGAGAGGTCTGCTCTGGGAGATGTGGCAATATGTATTTGTTCAATGCAATTATGAGGCTCAGATGGTATAGACACAGAGTCAGATGCAGAAGTGAGAATAGCATGCAAAACAGACATAGGACCAGAATTAACAGGACTATAAACAATAGACAGATTCTGGGTATTAAGAAGAATAATCTCATAACCACTTAAGCGCTGGGCTGTCATGTGTTGTGTGGTGAGATTTTTTTATAAGCTTAGTAACCTGGTGACTGGTATGGAGTATTGTAGGATGCCGTAGTGTGATAGTAGTTGCAGTCTCAACAGCCATTGCACATGCTGCCAATGCTCTGAGACACGCCGGCATACCCTGTACCGGAGCTGGAACTACTTTGGAAAAGAATGCTATGGGACGCATACCGCCTCCGTGCTCTTGTGCACAGACCGCGGCCATGGTTTTACAGTTGTCCCGAGCATACAAATGAAATGGTTTACAATACACAGGTAGTCCTAAAGCCGGGGCTTGTACAATAGCAACTTTGAGAGCAATATACGCAGCTAGCATGTCTGGTGACCAGCAGACATTTTCAGGGCTGTCAGAACGTACAGCCTCCCTTAGGATTGAGTCATAATGGGAGCATTCAGGGATCCATTGGCGGCAGTAATTAATCATGCCGAGGAAGGTGAGCAACTCCTTCCGAGTAGTGGGTTTAGGAATCCTCTGAATGACCTCAATACGTTTTGGACTCAATTGTCTGGTGCCTGAAGCCAGAACAAAACCTAAGTAATCAACCTTTGATTTACACAATTGCATTTTGTGTTTTGCAACCTTGTGACCCACAGTTGCTAAGTGTTTGAGCAAATTGACAGTATCCACAGTGCTTGCCTCATAGCTAGGGCTACATAACAATAAGTCATCAACATATTGCAAAAGGACGGAACCATGACCGGGGGTCCATGTTTTTAGAGTATGTTGGAGTACCAGCGAATAAACGGCTGGGGAATCCACATAGCCTTGGGGTAAACGTGTCCAGGTATACTGACAGCCTTCAAAAGTAAAAGCCATAAGTAGCTGTGTCTCTTGATCAATAGGTATAGAAAAAAATGCATTACTTAAATCAATGACAGTGAAGCAAGTGGCATCATGTGGAATGGCTGTAATGAGGGATGTCACATCAGGGACAATGGGTGCAATGGGCACAATTAAACTATTCAGGGCTCTAAAATCCTGAACTAAGCGATAACCATTACCTTTAGGAACTGGATTAATAGGTGTGTTATATGGGGAAACTACTGGCTTTAGTATTCCCTGCTCTAGAAAAGATTGGATCATGGGGCGAACTCCCTCAACCTTGGCTTCTGACAGGGGGTACTGTTTAAGGTAGATAGGAGTTACAGCTGGTTTTAGTTTGGCTTTGTAAGGGGTGCAGTTGACAAATCCTACATCTAACTTAGATGAAGCCCACACAGAAGAAGGAACATCAGACAATAGTTTCAGAACACAACATAGACACATCAATACCACCAGAGGGCGTGCAAGTAATAGTAGCTCCCAGAATACCAAGAAGATCCCTTCCCAGCAAATTGACAGGACATTTAGGTATTAAACGAAAAGGGTGCGAAAAGGGTGCATGGTAGAAGAACCATTAAGAGGACAAAAAACAGACAGTGGTGGTGTGACAAAAGTGGGGGTTGACACTCCATTAATACCCAATGAAGGTGTAGACTTTTCCCTTGTCCCCTGATAATAGGTATCACAGAGACTGGAACACGTAGCTCCAGTATCTTACCAAAAATGGCAAGGATCTACCTTCTATGACCAGAATACAAAAAGGCTGATCATCATTAGTAGAGGACAAAAGTGGAAAAGTTGGAGTGTCACCTTCAAGGCAGCCCTATTGGGGCCATGGGATGTGATGGGTGTGCTGGTCAGTGGTACCTGTGAATGTCCCTAATGCAGTTTGGGTTTGCTGGAGCGAGGGGGGAGAGGGAAGTGCTGGCCAGTGGTGTTGGGAGTGGGCCTGGTGTTGTTCTTGCCTATCGGGCGTATTTTGAGAATTGTGGGGTTGTTGGGGCTGCTGGGGTTTCCTGGGGTGTGGACACTCATTCCTCCAGTGGCCATGCTGGCCACAGTTGAAACAAGTGTTCCTGTCTATTCCTCCTTGGTTACCCCTGCCCCTATAACCCCGATTTCCCAGTCTCCATCTCTTTGCCCCTCTTTGACCACACCTTCCACAGGCTCTATGTGCTTCATCCCATCCTCTCTCTCGGGCCTGTGTAGGTGGACAGTGTTGCAATCCCTGAGCATAATAAGCAACCTTACTTCCTGAATCTTTACTTAAATCAAAACAACCTGCATTTTCCTTCTCTAGAACCTTGGTAAGAAAATCTGAGCCACCCAAATTGGCCCAGTCTGAAATCAACTGTTTCACAAGCAAAGAATACTGTGGCAACATATTACCAAGGCATGACTGTATTTTAAGGAGATCCATATCATCTCCAGACTTCAAACCTGCCTCATCCTTCCAACATTTGTAAAATCTCTTTACAAAAATACCAATCTCTTCCTTTGCACCTTGCTTACATGCCAAAGCAGTGGATATAGACTGCTTATTCTTCCATAATCTCAACATTTCAGCTTCCACCTCATCCCACATTTTAGCACATCCTGCTGAAGTACTAAGCTCATAAACACCATCACTGCCAGCCACTCCAACTCCAGTACCGTTATCTGTCTCACTGATAGAGGGTACATTAGACCAATTCCAACCAGAATCTGAATCATACCCTAATATTCCATTTATAAATAACTGTATGTCTATCTGTGTCATGTTCTGTCCTAAACACATTCTTTTCAGATACATTAGGCATGCAGAGGGATTAGTACGGGGGTTTGGGGCACCTTGAATAATATCCTTGAGTACTCCGGGATTAATGGGTTTCATTATTAACTGATTACCAACAGTCATAAACGGGGCAGTAAGATCAGCACCTTCTAATTCTGGCATCTCTACATCATCATCATCATCTTGCTTATGTACATATGATTTTAACACCTTGCCACTTTTAAGTTTAACTCCTGTTTGTACTGTTAATTTAACTGTACCAGGAGGTGGCGGTGGGTATTCTATATCAGAATCTGGTGTAGATGATGATTCCTGTAATTGCTGTGATCGTGAATTAACAGCTGCAGCAACAGAAATATCCTCTATATCATCCTCTGAGGGGGCATTAGGTACAGCAGGATACATTGCTTTATAGGGAGGTGGGGGTTGTGGTTGGGCATGGCCGGGGGCTAACTGGGTAGGGGGCACAGTTGGTGGTGGATATAGATTATCAGGAGGGGCTTCTATAGAAAAGCAAATAGTATTACTGTCAACAGTTCCCTTTCTCTTAGCCAGGTGTTTCTTAGCTCCCTTTAAAACCTTTCCTGTTACACTACAAGGAAACCAATGAGGGGCTATCAGCAACCAATTTTCACCTCCTGCTTTCATATATTCCTTACCCCAATCTGGATCAGGACCATACCACGGCCATGACTTCCTATCTCCCAAACACAATCCTCGAATCATATTCATATGGAAATCATCATTAGCCCCAGACCTGGGAAAAGGATCAGATGACTTCATAGTCTCTGTCCATCCTGCTAAATTTGACACAAAGGGGATTGTAAGAAATCCTCCTTGTGCTCCTATTCTAGTAACATAATTTAGACATGGCTCCCCTGGGTGGGGTAAAGGGTAAGAAATAGACTGATTATTTCCCATATTTCTGGCTCAGGGTAGAGACACTACCTACTTACCAATAGTGTGTCTCTACTTAAAAAGCAAAATAAACACAAAGCAGACACAGGGTGACCAAAGGAACGAGAAGTTTGGGTTATTCTAGATCTATGAACCGTGTTCCCTAGAACACTTATAGTATTAATAAACCGGAGACTCCTTTATAGTCTCAAAACCTGTATCTACCTGAGATACCCTGTATCTATCTTAGATACTAACCTGGGTTACCAAAACCCTATATATATTTAGACCAAATGTCTAATAAAACGGAGACCTATTTACAGTCTCAATATAACTAAGTCCTTATACCTTTCCTTTCTACTGGATACAGACTTACTAAACCAAAGGGGGTCATAGACAATTAGCGTCAATAAGACACAAAAAGGCTACTCACCCAATGGTTTTGCTGATCCCACTTCTGACACCAAGCTGAAAGGATAAATGCTGTTCTGGACTCAACTCCCCTGGATTCTCGCTCCTTCGATCACCACATCAATTGATGGGAGATCTTGTTTAGCAAATAAGACACACAGACACGAAAGAGTGCA